TCATAAAATCTGTACAGTTTCTTACAGAACTGAAGTCTTTCTGTCCTAAGATAGATCTTTCCCATCCTTCCTGCTTCTCTGCCCTGTCTTTTTGTGCATCACTACAGATCAACTCCTCTCCCCTCCCCCTAATTATCTTGTGTCCAGAAGCCAGGTCTGTGTGTGCTTACATAGGTTATACCATGTACCAAAGGGCCCACCTAAAGTAGGCAGCAGAAGGGGTGCCTGGAGGCTGAAATGTAGCTCATCCTTCCTGCTCCAAATCCTGTGTTGGGAGAGTGTCCTTTTTGAACTCACATAAGGCAGCCGATGCTCCAGCCACAACCACGCCAACCTATGGTTTGTATTTTTGGTAGTGTCTCATCTGACACTACAATAGTTATCTTTTTTTTAATTAAAGATTTATTTGTTTATGCATATAAGAACTGGGGTATAAGCCAGAGGTGCAGGGTAGGGGTGACCTCTCTGGACTCACCAGAGACAGAGTGGGGAGCAGAACAGGTGGATCTACTGAAATACACTGCTGAGGGGAGCAGTGGGCAAGACAGGAGAAGTCTGCTGTGCCATGTGGGTCAGCTCCCTGGCTGGCCAGGGATTGAACTCGCTGGGGATAGGGGATAGAACTCGCACTGCAGTAGCTGGCGATAGCTTGATAGCGCTGTCTTTAACCCCTGCGCCAACAGGGAGACCCCTATAGTAATTATCTTAAAGAAACTCCTGCTACCGTTCTTTCTAGATAGCCCAGGTGTCTCATTCTCTCTGATGTGTGCTGCTGTCATGTCTATTGCCGGCAGTGGGGAGACAGCTCTCTATACAGTATGTTCCAGGTAGCCCCATTCCCTGCAGTCATATTCTGTAACAAGCCTCCCTGTGTACTCCCAGTCTGGTTTCCACCAGTCATACTTATTATTTTAATTATCCAAATTAATCAAATAATGAATAAGTGAATGATATAGTGTCAAAAGAGACAGGGTTGTGGTTTCTGGGAAACCAGGACCAACACTTTACAAAGACTGGGGAGGAGTAAGTGCTAGAAATAGCTATTGACCTCATTGTGTGGAAGCAGCTATGAAAGGGGGTCAAAAGAAAAATGCAAAGTCTAAGATTCTACACTTGAATTACATTACATGTGATTTGAAGTTCTCAATCCACATTAGAGACACTCAAGGTACCAATCACAGACCTTGCGTGGTAGGTGTAGCGTAAGAAAGAAAGATGTGTCCCTGGAATCTGCAGACCCATGTTTAAAACAAAAAATAGATGTTTCAAAAAGCTCTGACCTCTATCAAAAAGCAGATATTTGTGTTTTCAAGTAAAACAGGCTGAAGACAAGTGTGTGCTATTTTAAGCCATTTTTCCAATTAATTAGCTGTCAGCCAATACCCAGTCCAATTCCCATGATGTCATATAAGAAGGGTTCTATGAATTTTATTTAGTACTGAATGAGATTTCTGTGTATAGTTCCTCGCCCTGTGTGATGCCCACCCAGGCAGTTTTAAGCATCTGATAGTAAATTTGCCTTTCGTAACATGATTTTGGGCAACAGAGCTGGAATGATCACCACAGCAAAGAGTTACTCTCAACAATGGCCACTCAGTCATACCTGTCCCAATTCAGAATATTAAAAAATGTTCTTTTGAATCCAACTGGACTTCGTGCAGTATACTTTACTACAGATTAGAACAGGATCCTAATTCTTTCTGGCAACCACAAATCAATATTTGGCACCTCTTCTGGGAATTTTGTAAAAATTGCTGTTTAAGTTCAAAATGACTAAAAGACAGCTGGATAAAACAAACTCAGATCCTTTCTAAGGAAGGATGATTTAATGTGAGATTAATTATTCAGTAAGGGAGGAAGGAAGAGGTCTAGAAAAGAAGTTTTGTTTTGTCATTTCCAGCCCTGTGGAATCAAAGGGTCATGAAATTTTGGAACTGGGGAGACTCACAGAGGTCAGCAGATTGTGCCTATTTTTTTTTTTAAAGATTTATTTATTTATATAAGTACTGGGTACAGTCAGAAGCGCCGGAGGGTGAGAGAATTCACCAGATCCAGAGCGTGGAACAGAACAGGCAGAAGGACCGAAGTACACTGCTGAGGGGAGCAGCGGGCAGCAGGAGAGGTCTGCGCACCATGTGGGACCCTTGCCCAGCAGCGGCCTGGGATCAAACCAGAGCTGCAGGGTGGCCGGGGATCAAACTGGCGCTGCAGAGGCTGTGGGCAGCTTCGCAACCCAGCGCTCAACTGTTGCGACACTGGGGAGGCCCAGACTGTGCCCATTTCTTGAGGCAGAAATGCCCTCTTCACATCGAATGGCCCCCTACTCTGATTTATTTGCTGGCAAGGATGTAGAGAAAAAGGAACTCTCCTACACTGCTGGTGGGAGTACAAACTGGTCCAACCACTATGGAAAGCTGTGTGGAGGTTCCTCAAACTACTAAAAATGGAGCTTCCATGTGATCCAGCAATTCCACTCCTAGGGATCTAACCAAAGGACACAAAAATATTAATTCAAAAAGAAACCTGCATCCCTATGTTTATTGCAGCACTATTTACAATAGCTAAGCTATGGAAACAACCCAAATGTCCAAAAATAGATGGCTGGCTCAAAAAGATGTGGTACATATACATAATGGAATATTACACAGCAATCAAAAAGATAAACTCATGCCAGTCGCAGTAACATGGATGGAACTGGAAGGGATTATGCTCAGTGAAATAAGCCAGAAAGAAAAAGAAAAATATTGGATGGTTTCACTTATAGGAGGAATGCAGGGGAACCAAATAAGGCACCAGGAAAAAAATAATTATTATAATAAATTAAAAAACAAAATTAACAGGCAACTATTAATCAGAGACACTCTGCAGGGGAGGGGGAGGGAGTGGGATCACAGGGGAGGGAGGAGCGCAAGGGACTGTAGTGATGGTGCATAGGTGAATTGGTGGTGGAAATTTTATAGGGGCTACACCTCAGAGGAAAAGCACTGTACAAAAAGGAAGAACGAGGTAAAAAATATGTATATAATAAAATTTAAAAAATAAAAGTAAAAACCTAAAAACAAAACAAAACAAGAGGTTCCACATATTGCAAAGAAGTAGGCTTCATTATTGAAAAGCCTGATTTAGAAACTTCTTTCTTATTATGAGTTTTAATCTCTCATTTGATCACCTCCATTTTTGGATATTACCTCTGTAACTTGGAATTTCTGTCCTTGTTTATTTTTGAGGGAACTGGTAAATTGATTCTGGAGAAAACAAAATGTATATGTGTATGCACCCGTTTCTAGATGGACTGTGGGTAAGAGCAACAAACATCTCTGTATAGACACTCCCCAACATGGGATGGTTTCACTAAGGATTTTTTGACTTTACAATGGTGTGAAAATGATGGCTATGCCGTGGAAACCATGCATTACTGTCTCTCATCAAGGAGAAGAAAGGAATGTAGAAAAAAAATGAGACAAATAGAAATTTTAATAGCCGTGGTATAAACAAGTCCTGCTAAAACTAATCATTACACACAGTAATGATTAGTCAACTGCACTCCTAAGATACAAAGTAGGTTAATTTCAGAAACAATTTTTTTTCTTTTTTTCTTTTATTTTATATATATTTTTACATCATTTTTCATTTTTGCACAATATATGCATTTTTATCTTGATTATAGTCCCCATACAATTCCCACCTCCCCTTGTTTTGATCCTACTCTCTCCCCCCCATAGTGTGTCTCTGATTTATAGTAGTTTATTGATTTTGATTTTTACTTTATTATAATTAGTCTTTTTCCTGGTCCCTTATTTAGGTTTTCTAAATTCCTGCTATGAGTGAGACCATCTGGTATTTTTCCTTTTCTTTCTGGCTTATTTCACTGAGCATGACCCCTTCCAGCTCCATTCATGTTGCTGCAAATTGCATGAGCTTATCTTTTTTGATTGCTGAGTAATATTCCATTGTGTACATGTACCACATCTTCTTGATCCAGTCATCTATTTTTGGGCATTTGGGTTGTTTCAATAGCTTAGCTATTGTAAATAGTGCTACTATAAACATAGGGTTGCAGGTGCCCTTTTGAATTAATGCAGAAACAATTTTTAAAATCTATAATGATGTTCGGAAGAAATATGCTAATGAAGCTTGCAAATAAAAAAATAGAACAGACATATATAAACCAAAAGGAAGCAGATGTGGCATTATTTTTTTTATCAGAAATAATAGGTGTTGAGTATATTTAAATAAGGAACACTCAATAACTTTTTTGAAAACTCAAGTCACCAAGAATTTGTAAAGATTCTAAATAATGTGCACCTAATAAAATATCAAATTATATAAAGTAAAAATTGATACATCGAAGAGACAGCATAGTTGGCAGGCTTAAAATATTTACTAGCTAGTCTTGTACAGGAAAAGGTTGTAGCTCTCTGTATATGGACGTAAGACATCTCAAGCAAGTTTCAAAATATCGGCATCAAATGACAATAATCTCTAAGGCACAATGCAATTAAGATGTCAATAAAAAATAAAATAGGTAAAAATTCCACACTCTGGACAATTTTAAAGGAAACCTTACTTTTTTTTTTCTTTTTTTTAAAAAAAGATTTATTTATTTATTTATACAAGCACTGGGTACAGTCAGAAACGCGGGAGGGTGAGAGGATTCACCAGAGCCAGAGCGGGGAACAGAATAGGCAGACTGACGAAATACACTGCTGAGGGGAGCAGCAGGCACAGCAGGAGAGGTCTGTCGTGCCATGTGGGACCCTCACTGGCGGCCAGGGATAGAACCGGCGCTGCAGAGGCTGCGGGCAGCTTTGCAGCCCAGCGCTCAACCGCTGCACCACCAGGGGAGGCCCGGAAACCTTACTTTTAAATAGTGTCTGGGTGAAAAGAGAAATAATGGGGATTAAGATACTGTGTAGTAAATGATAACAAGACTTGATAAGATGGTCAGGAAGGGACAAATTGTACATCAATTCAGACACTAATTGCAATACATTAAACAGATCAAATAGGTTTTATTTGAGTTTAGATATGAGTTTAGATATTTGGATAAAAAGTGAGGGGTCACCTTGGGAAGACGAAAGAGAACAGTTGTTTATGTTGAAAACTGGTACATAAAGAGAAAGAAGTCAAGCATTTAGTGTGCCTGTCCCATGTGGACTGTCCCAGGGATCAGTGATACCAGTCAGCTGGAAACACTGGCACAGAGGCAGGTTGAGACGTGCAGGGAAGCACAAGTGGTCTACCAGATGCAGGTGCCCACAGCAGATGTCTAAGAGGGGGCTCTTGGAGAGGTTGGTGGGAAGCTGTTGGCTCTGTGGTCTGGTCATAGAATCAAGGGTGAATGAGGACAAGTGTGGATCCCACCAGGACTCTTGGACCTGTCCATCAACATATCTGCCTTCAACAAACTTCTGAAGACTGTGGCTTCACTTCTGCTTTCTGAATCTCATGCAGGCTCTTCTTTTGGCTAGTTCTAGTTGAGAACCGGCCAAAAAAGAAAAAGGGAATTTTGGAAAGTAGTTGTGCAATTCAGTATACAGTGTAGTGTATTTCAATTTGTGCTCTACACCTTTTTTTTTTAAGATTTATTTTATTTTTATGTATACAAGAACTGAGATGTAGGCCAGAGGTATAGGGATGAGAGGATTCACCAGAGACAGAGTGGGGAGCAGAACAGGTGGCTGTACTGAAATACACTGCTGAGGGGCAGCGGATGAGACAGGAGAGGTCTGCTGTGGCATGTGGGTCAGCTCCCTGACTGGGGATGGAACTCATGCAGGAGTGGCTGGCGATAGCTTGATAGCGCTGAGACTTTAAGCCCTATGCTACCAGGGAGGCCCTGTGCACCTCGTTTAGCCACTTCCAAATAAAGATAATAGTAAGATCATCCTTCACTCAATAAGATGGAACTACCATTTGTATAACTGAAAAGGCACTGACCTTCTCCCCCAAAGGGTACACGATGGCATCCATCTGTAGACAATATCCATTTGCTTTATAGCTGGATCACTCTCTTTCTTGGATGTCCTATAATTTAAATATTGACATAAAAGCTTAAGATCTTAGATGGTAGAGGAGTGGAAGAGAAAAAAATAGTTGTGTGTGTGTGTGTGTGTATACACATAAATGAATATACTTAATATAAAAAAAATTCTCATTACTACTGTGATCCTCATTTCTGCAATTGGCTGCATGGTCAATACTGATATTTATAAGTTGTTTTTTTTTTTTAATTTCCAGTCTATATTCTTTGCTCTTAGCAGGCACTTCAGCTTTCCTGGAAGGTCACCCAGATCTTCAATCCTTCAATCCTTCAAGGATCTGTACCATTTGGAGTCCTGCTGTATTAAGGTGTTGTAGATTTCTCTCAACATTCTTCATAAAAAAATAAGAGTGCATAAAGTATGAAGATGCCTCTCCAGAGGATCTGTAGACTTGTAGACACGCTCTTCCCTGTCCCCACTGTCTAGTGATAACCCAATTTCCCCTGAGGAACAGGGTTAATCACATTAGCTGATAGAGTAAGCTACTTTTTTTTTTTGACCACTTGTTTAGTGACAAGCAGCTCAAAATGGCCAGGTTGCTGTCTCAGCTTCTAGTTTGACAGAACCATTGTCATGTCCCCAGTGAAAGTGTCTTTAAGGAACTAAGACCTCTACACCTACAGAGTGCAAAGTTGAGAGGATGGGAAATGCACTTTACTAGAGGATGACTTGAGTTAGTAATAGGAAAAGTCAAACTCACCTTTTCCCTTAGTTTTTGGACCTGAGAAGAAAAGCACTATGGGGCTTGCATTTCAGTGCATGCGTTGCATTCTGGGAGAAGACATGTTAACCCTGCAAAATGCTTCCATCCACAGCTGAGTCTTCAAAGGGCCTGCTTGCTCATCAGACCAACTGCTTCAGAATAATGGGGAACTAGACAAGCCTAGTGAACCCATGAGCTCAAGCTCATTGCTGTAACTGACTTGGTATCAAATGAGTTTCCTGTTCTAAGCATGCTGCATGTCATACAATGAAGAGGAATAATGTATTTTGTAAGAGCACAAAACATGGTTTGCTAGAAGCACTGCAGGCAGAAAAGGGAAATCCATGTCCAGTTCTGACCACTGGAAAGATTTCCTGTAACCACTGTCCTGCAGGGCCACTCCTGAGTGAGGTGGTTGTGCCACAGTTGTGCATTTTCAACATACCCCGCCAAACCAACTGCAATTGGTCTTAAGTTTTGCTTCCTTAGAATAGTGAACACAGAGAACTTCCCATGAGGTCATAGGTGTAGGTGGAGAAACATGAGAAAATAAACAGAAGAGTCATAGGAATCTGAACCATTTGCTCATATGACTTACTTGTGCCTTCAGGACGCCCATCAGCCCAGTCTCATGCTGGGCTTAATGGGGCAAACGACACTGAGTTCAACTGGGCATCAGGTTTCATGAAAAGCTGGTAGTCCAAGTGAACAATTAAGTCTCTTCTAGTGTCCAGTAGTGAACTAGAAACTATTTCTTTTTTTTTTAAAGATTTATTATTTATTTATCTATCTATCTATTTATTTATTTAAAGATTTATTTATGCATACAAGAACTGGGGTGCAGGCGGGGGGGTTAGAGGATTCATCAGAGACAGAATGGGAACAGAACAGGCAGATTGACAGAAATACCCTCATAAGGGGAGCAGCGGGCAAGACAGGAGAGTTCTGCTGTGCCATGTGGGTAGCTCCCTGCCCGGGGATCAAACTCGTGTTGCAGTGGTTGCGGACAGCCCCATAGGTTGTGTCTCAACCCCTTGCACCACCAGGGGGGCTCCTAGAAACTATTTCTTAAAAGGAGAATGCTTATATTTAGAAAATGGTACATCTTTGGTCCAAAATCCTAAAGATTTACACTATAATTCACTTCTAGGCGTGTATGCCAAGCCCCTCAGACAACACTCCTGTCTGTCATAGACATCTCAAATGTCAGTGGGTCTTCTGAATCAAAGGGATCAGGAGGTAGAGGAGCTGGCACACAGCTTGGTCTTGTGGCAGAGTCTTTTCTTCCACTGGGTCCCACTAAAACTGGAAGTCTACTAGGTGTGTGTCTCTCTTTGTGTAGGAAGGGCTAGATGCAGCAACTCGTTCTCCACCTTAGAGGAGATATCTTGTGCATACCCTAGATCAGAGGAGATAGTCACTAAGGTAGAAGGTCCCTAAATTTTTGTGAAATGTATTTCTCAACCTCCAGCTTTTTGCCACTTTCTGTCCAGTAGGTCTAGCCAACATACCGTCATCACTCTAATGGATGAAGAGAAAATATAGTGGAATAGAGGGTCAATCAAGGTCATTTTGGACTAGATCATGATAGAGGACTGTAAAGTTGATAAAGACTCAAGGTAGGGCAATGATGTGTATTGCTGGTCCTACCCTTTAAAAAGAAATCTAAGTGAACCAAATTTCAGAAAATGACAATCCTTCATATGAAAGAAAGGATCTACATTAGTTCTCACCCATTACTAAAGTGTAGAGAAGAGGAATCCACCATAGAAAATGATTTAAAAAAAAATCAGCTTGACTTTTAACAACTTTAATGACTGTGTGCCCTGATATTGTTACAGAGCAATCCCAATATAAAATGGGTTGCCTGACTGTGAGTCCTCACCTGCACACTTAAAGGGGACTTATTAATGCTAAGGTGCAGGCACACACAAAAGGTTAATAAAAGATTTGTTTACAAGGGAAGGGAAAATGGGGAAATGAATAACTCAGGGAGAATAAGAGGAAGATAAGTTCGTAAATGTGTCCTACCCATTCCGCTGACCTGGAATCCCAATGACCCACTGAGCTGGCGAAAAACCACCACGTGCTATTCAGGCCAAGAGAGTGATGACCTCCCCTCCCCCCTTCAGTCACTTGGCTGGTTAAATACTCAGACAGAGAACAAGGCTGCCTAACTCCTCCCTCAGGTCCTTGCAACCCTTCCTTTGGTGATCACGAGATTTGTAGTTCCCAGTGTCTTGATGGAGTGGGGGTGGAGTCCACAAAGTCTGTATGGAGTTTGCTCAGGACATCCTTTCCCCCTAACAATATAACAGATTAGAATCCAGAGGAAACATAGGCACAAAGAAAGACTGTACTATCTGACAATTCTTTCTCACTGACATTCACTGATTCCTGGGGTAGGACCAATAAAGGAAATGAAGAAATAAGAGAAATTCTCAGCGTTGTATTGAGCTCTAAAGCTAAGAAAGACCTGTAGAAGGGAAGGAGAGCTGACAATCCTATCTGGCACTCTAGGAGAGAAATTGGGGCTGATGTCAGGAGAGACATGAGATCCTTCCCCAAAGCTTAAAACTAAGGAAGACATCAAGTAGAACAGAAAACCTGAGAATATCAGCTCCAAGACAATATTTGCATATAGGAAAATCAGAATATTTTTAGAATATTTGAAACTAGTGGTATATTGCATCAAAATGAAAAAAGTTACAACCCAAACCCAACTTAAGCTACAGATCATAATCAATTCAGTCCAAATTCACTAACAATATAGGAGAAGGTATGTGGCCATCTTTGGAGGAAAATATTGTCTAATGTATTTTTATAGAAAATGTCCAAGACGTACTTCACAATAACAAGAAACACACACACACACACACACACAAATGTAAGCCATGGTCAAGAAAGAAAACTATCAATAGAAGTTAACTAAGACATAGGTCAGATTTTAGAATTATCGCAGTGGCATATACATACAATGGAATATTACTCAGCAATCAAAAAAGATAAACTCATGCAATTTGCAGCAACATGGATGGAGCTGGAAGGGATCATGCTCAACGAAAGAAGCCAAAAAGAAAAAGAAAAATACTGGATGGTTTCACTCGTAGCAGGAATCTAGAAAATCTAAACAAGGGACCAGGAAAAAGAATAACTATAAGAAAGAAAAAATCAAAATCACCAAGCAACTATAAACCAGAGACAACACTATGGGGGGGAAGGGAGAGGAGGGATTGGGGTCAAAATAAGGGGGGTGCAATTGTATGGGGAATATAAAAAAAGAATTATCACAGTATGACAACAATATGAAAGGACTAAAGGAAAAGATGAACGTGATTTGTGATGATATGGGCAACTTCAGAAAAGTGATAGTGTAAAAAAAATGGAAATGCTAGAAATAAAAAATACAGTATCAGAAGTAAAGAGGTAAATGGGCTTAACATTAATAAGTTGGGCAATGCAAAGGAAAGAAACTTGAAGAGACAGAGAAATAAGACAAATAAAACAGTATTCAAGACGTATGCAACAATGGCATATGTCATGTTTGTGTCATTGGAGTAATAAAAGGAGAGGAGAAAGATAATGGTAGAAACAATATTCAGAGAGCTACTAGATGAGAATTTTCCAAAACTAATGAAAGATATCAACTTACAGGTCCAAGAATTATAGCCAACATCACAAAGAGTAAATATGAAGAAAACCACACTTAGGCACATCATAGTCAAAATTCTGAAAACCAAAATTAGAGAGCAGATCTTAAAGACAGCTGGGGGGCAGGGAAAAGACATGACATACAGGGAGCTAAAATATGAACTACAAATGACTTTTAATCAAAAATAATGGAGACAGAGATGAAATGACATGTTTAAAATGCCAAAAGAAAAAAAAATCTGTCAACCTAAAATTTTATATACAGTGAAAATTATCCTTCAAAGCTGAATGTGAAATAAAGACATTTCACCCAGACAAAAAGCAGTGAGACATCATCTCCAACAAACTACACTATAAGAAATGCCAAAAGAAGTTCTTTAGGCCAAAGAGAACTGATATCAGATCTGTAAGAAGGAATAAAAAGTAGTGAAAAGGACAAATATCTGGGCAAGTTAAAAGTGACATGTATTTTATTACCTTCACTATATACATACAGTTTTTAAAATATCAATCCCTCCAACATGTGATGGGTTTTGTAACATGTACTAGGCAGTATCATAAGGGATGGAGAAATATAAATGGAATTATGCTGTTTTAAGTTTCTTATCTATTCATAAAATAGAATAATATTTGAAGATTGACTGTGATAATGCAATATATAAATTGTAGTTTCTAGAACAACCACTATGTTTAACAGAAAGAAGAACAGCTAGAAAGGGAATCTAGGAATTCAAAGGGAATATGAAAAATTTACTCAATTTATTCCCTGACAAATTCAGGAAATAGGAAATCGAGAAGCAATGGGCAAATGGGAATGAATGAATGAGAAGAACTTCTCTCAACCACTATTATTGAACACTGAATGGATTTGGAAATTAACTTTTGCTACAGACTTGATAATGATTTTCATGAATTCAACCTCAACTACAATGCAAAACAGAGCTATCTGTGAATCTTATACTGCAGTTGAATCATTTTGACACTACTAACATTATTTGAATCACAAATAATACCAAGCTGCTTTATACGCGTGCCCATGCTGTCAAAAGTTAAAAGAAGCAAGATCTTCATTCCAACACAAATTTACAGTAGTTATATTTTTCTGAACTGAAACTACAGTTCCAACAGTGGTTTTTGGATTTTAATGCAAGTGAAAAGGAAATTTCCATATTTAAAACTCACTTAACTGCAACTGAGGTGTTCCACTTAACCTTCAACGGAAATGATTAATCTGCAAGATATTGGCATGCTAAGGGGGAAATGACAAGAGAACTGATAGAATTCTAATAGAATGATAAAAATGCCTTCTATGAAATAAATATGCTCATGTAAAATAATATCCTGATGAATTGATATATTTGGCAGCACCTACCTGGGTGAAAAGAATTGTGTAAAATCTCATTACAGCTCAATATTCAATTTTGATAATAGAAAACACTTTTGAACTGGGGTTCAATTAAGTGGAAACCCATCCTCTCCCACCCACACACACAAAAAAAAAAGTTCCATGCTCATCATTAGACCCATATCACTATTGTGCTATTGTGATTATTATTACACCTACATTTGTTAATAAAAAATTATGGATAGTTGTTTTCTCTTTTGGTATGTATCTACACCATGTCCTCAATTTTGCCTCTGTGAGCAAAGCCAAAAAAACTTACTATCTGGCCCTTTCCAGATAGAAATTGCCAATTTTTCTAAATGCAGTGTTTAGTTGCCACAGCTGCTACTGTATATTTTGCTTTGGAACCGCATACATTCTAATTCAAACTACTACTTCCAGAATTACTTGGAAAAGCTAAGGAGGAAATAGGAAGTGGAGGTTAAATAATTGCAGCTAACAGCAGCTGAGCACATATATGTGGCAAGCACTCAGGTAAACAAGCACGTCGAAAATTTTTGCTCATTTAATACAAGAATCTTCTACCATAGGCGCTATGCTCCCACTCCCATTTTGCAGAAGCAGAGTGAGTTGATCATATTGGAAGATCATGTTAAGGATATAAAGGTTTATAGGCTTTAATCAATCCAGCAATGGGGCATTAGGACAATATTTGCAAAAATCAGTGGAAGGAGGAAGGACATACAGACCATTGTTGGGGAGTGGGGAGAGGCTGTGGACAGAGGTGGTCAGAAGCAGAGCAATTGGTACGGACCTGAGATTCTGGGGCTACCAGTGACGCAACAGCCGAGGTCCCCGGAGGCTCACAGAACTCCATAATGCCATCTCCTCAGCCACAGGACTCTTTTCCATCCCAAGTTCCTTAAAACAGAGCACTCTTCTGATGAATATGTGAAAAAGTATGAACACATTAATTATGTGGAGAGCTGAAGGAAAAATCCGTAGGGTGGGCACGATCTTAGAAATCTGTCTACACGTAAACACACAGACATTGTGCCTATTTATGTGTGTGTATAAATTGGCAACACAATTCACACCCCCACACTATAAACTCCTACGTGTGCATCAGCAGGGCTTCGAGTTGAAAACACGATTACAACGTTCTCGGTCTTCAGGGGTCACCAGGGCATTTTAGGGGAGCGTGAATAACAATAAAACTCATAGCGACACCAGCCCGCAGGCACTCAAAGACCCCTCAGCCCCGCAGGCTGGAACTTCCTCTCAATTGTGTTTTCCCAGCAAAAATTCCTCCTGGCCCAGCAGGACCCCGGGGTCCCCCACTCGGCCCATGGCGTCCTGGGGAGGGGGGGTTCTCTTCAGGAACGCGTCCTGTCAACTTTGTAGTCCGGTCTCCTATTTCGGTTGGTCGCGGCCGCTATTTCTTTAACTGGACAGCGGATTTCGAAACGGGGAAGAAGGGGGGTCAGGGAAGGAACTCAACCGCCTTTGATAACTGCCCAGCAGCCTCCCTTCCCCAGAACGCGTGCTCTGAGGGGGGGTCGGGGGGGGGCCGGGAAGCGCCCTCGGCGGCGGCCGCATCCCCCAGCGGGCGCGCGCGGCGCCTGCTCTTTTCGGGGCGCCCACCTTCCCGGGGAATCCCCCCACCGGGCCGAGCCCCAGCGTCTGCGGGTGCCTCGGCTTTGTCTGGGGCGTCGCGCTCGGGCGCTCGCGCTCCCCACATCTCCCGGCGCGCAGGCTGTAACCCGATCCCCCATTTCCTGGTGGATTCTCTTAAAGAGGCCGCGGTCGCGAAGCAGAACAAAGGCTATTGTTTTATTTCCTCCCGTGGATTCCGCGTCCTTTACGGGAATGTCCTTCCCTGTGTAACGATTTTCCTCGCCGGGGCGCTGAGGGGGGCGGGGGGCGGGGACGGGGGAAAATCACCCGTGTGTGCGCGTTTCGGCATCTGTGGGAGACGGAGCGGGGCGGCGGGTAATAAACGGGGTTTGTGGTCCCCGGGGCCCCCACGTAACGCTTTTTCTACGTGTCTTCCCGGAGCCGGGCGATTGTTGGGGCTCGGCTGGGGGAGCCCCGCGCGCGGCGGGCGGTTGGGGGCGCGCGGCTGCGCCCGGGGGGCGGCCGCGGCCTGGCTCCCGCCCCCCCCACCCGGCTTCCTCCTCAGCCCGCGAACCCCGCCGCGCCCCTCCCCCCGCACCCCCCCCAGGCCGGCTTTTATTTCCCCGATGCCGGGCTGTAACCCGAGCTTTTATTTCCTGGTGGCTCCTTTAAGAGGCAGAGCTCGGTGCTGGGAATTCACGTCAGTTTCTGCTCTGAAACTCTCAAGATCAATGAGCGAGGAGCTTTCTCAGTTCTGCCTTTCAGTTTCTCTCTTCCAGGAAGGAAAACATTCGAGAGAGCGAGGGAGAGCGCGGGAGGGCGGGGGGCGGGGGCGCCGGCCGCGGGTGGGAGGAGGCGAGCGAGCGCGAGGCCGGCCGGGCTGCGCCCCGGGTCGCCGCGCCGCGACCTGCAGACCCCGGCGTCGCCGCGCTCGGCCCGGCTCCCACGCCCCCGCCGCCCCGCGCGCCCGCCCGCCCGCCCGCCCCGCCCGCCCGCGCGCCCGCGCGCCCGCCGACCCCCGGGGCGGCTGCCGGGAGAGATGCTGCGAGAAACTTCTTAAATGACCGCGTCTGGCCGGCCGTGGAGCGCTTCTGGGTTGGGGAGAGGAAAGGAAAGTGGAAAAAAACTGAGAACTTCCTGATCTCTCTCGCTGTGAGACATGTCTGAGACTCCTGCTCAGTGTAGCATCAAGGTAAAGACCTCCTCGCCCTCCCTGTCCGTGCGTGAGACCCCGGAGCTGCCGCTGCACCGGCCCGGCCCGTCGTGCCGGGCGCCTCGGAGGGGGCTGCTGCAGCCGCCCAGCGCGCCCGGGAATGATTGGGGGGCGCCCGGGAAGGAGCTGCAGCTCGCGCTGGCGGCGGCTGTACCCTTTAGGGTAACCTTGCTGCGCCCCCCCCCCCACGCCGAGCCCCCGGAGGCTCCTCGCCCCCCCCCACCCCTTTGCTTTTTTTTGACAATGAAATGCCCGTCACAGTTGGTCAGGAGGAGCCCGAGTTGTCTCCAGGACTGTAAAACACCCCCGTAATTAGTGCGCCTTAAAAAAAAAAAAAACAACAACAAAAACCCCAAACCTGCTTCCTACTCCTACTCCCAACATGTGACTGAAATGTAACTTTTGTTCCCGAGGGGTGGTCTGCTGCTTAGGGGAAAAAAGTTCTCCAGTTCCCATTGGGGATGAAATCGGGGCTTTATTTGAAGGACTCCCCGGGTCTGATCAGACAGGATTTTTCCTCCTCCTCCTCCTCGGATTGTAATTGCAAGCGCTTGTTGGAGAGACAGTCGTCGTGTCAGCTCTTCCTGGGCATTGCACAATGAATTTCTTTCTTTCATTTTTTTTTTTTTTTAAGCCAAGGTGAATAAAGTTGCTGAATGGTTATTTTACTCCGATTCCTATGAGAGTTGGGCAATCCCAAAGTAGAAAAGTCGTGTATGCAGGGGGAAAGCGAATTATTTCCGTGAGCAAAATGACCTTCCCTGTTTGACAGTGCGGAGGGGCTCCCTGCGAGGAGCAAGCGCCCGGCTTTCTCGCCAGGTTTTGCAAATGCGGGACGGTGGATGTTGGCAAACTCGGTCCTAGGCTTCCCAAGAGTGGTCTGTGTCTATCAAGACCGGTGGTGCTGAGGTTTGTTGCTTCTGAAAAGTTGTTGTAAACTTTGCCACCGTGAGGAGGCAGGATGATTTCTTCATCTCCCCCAATTATTCTCCCCATCGCGGCATTTATTGTGCACTTTACTCATGTGGCGGTTCCCGCGGTGCCCTCGTGGAAAAGCTTTCTGCTTCTGTGAGTGGTGGAAACTGCTGAAGTTTGTTTGTCTTTGACTTGGGCCATTTAGTCTGTTTTCTTTGAGTGGGCACTGCAGAAACAATGAACAAATAACCTGTTTTCTTCATGCAAAGGGAATTAGAGCAACCTTTCCTGTTTAACATTGCTTTTCCAGTGGGGCCAGTGCTTGATTTCCTTACTAAGTTTTCATTATTTCATAAATGCTCAGATTTTAGTGATTCTGATCGGGAAAGATTTTCTTGGGTTTGCGGGAGGGTTTATGTGAACTGAAAAGATGAGCTGGGTTTCTTTGTTTCTGCCTCCCACAAATGCCCCGTGAAACTTTGGGGTTCCTGTGTTTATACCTCTCTAGTGGTAGCAGTAGGCCTGTGATGGAGGGGGGTGTCCCAGTGCAGAACTTCGAGTCCTTTGACTTCCAAACCAGTTTCTTTGGCTGTATTCTGTAGAGTCTTCAAGTTTGGGAAAATCCTCCAGTAGGGATAATCTAATTTATTTGACACTTCATAACTCAAACAGAGGTAACTAACTAGTCGAGTGTTAAATCAGTAAATTGTATTTCACTGAAAGGCAATAAATCTGACATCAGGAAAACCTGGACCAACTGTGGGGCAATAATTTTAGGATAAAACCACCAAACAGTCCTCTCGGTGATTTTTCTAAAGAGACTTGGTAGCTCCCTCTTCTGATGGGCGTGTGTGTGTGTGTGTGTGTGTGTGTGTGTGTGGTGGACATGATTTCTGCTCTGTGCCTTCTGTCATTAATCTATAGGGGCACAAACGTACAGCCCCTCTTTCCTTGCACACACAGACAGACCAAACCTTTTCTTAAATGTCACGTAAAAATTACCTTCGCAGTTTGCATATCATCTTTTTTTTCCTTATTGCTTACCTCTCAGTTCTTTTTAGGTGACTTTTCCTTGCCTGTGTATTTCTTTGTAATAAGTTTCTTTTATTTTGGATGACTCTATGGAACCAGTATATGACTGCTTGTTTAGACTATGCATATGTTTAGTTGCGCATCGGCGAAGTGTATTTTTCCATGGGATTTGTTTAATTCCGGGTATTCCAGTAATAGGCGCTGGAGATCAAGGACCGGGATTATTCCAGGTCATCTGAAAATGTTCTGGTGATGTGTGCAGGGTTTCATGTAGTCCTTGGGATGTGGCATCGTGACTGCATAATAAAAAATGTTTGCTGGTAACCCACAAGCAAGTACTGGGATTGCTTCTAGAGTCCAGAAAACAATCAACTTTTCTGTAAAGTGGAGAGTGACGGTCCAGAGCTTTCAAGGCTGAGCTGATGAATTTCATGTCCTGGGAATTGGGATGCAGAGGACTCTGTGGAGAGATTTCCCAAACTTTCCCTCTCTGCTCCTGAAACCTTCTTCTTTTGCTCTCATTCCTTATGAGCAGCTGGTGAACAGGCAGTAAATTCCTGGGCAGCTGGTGTGATGGAGCCCAGAGGAGTCTGACCAGGGCCAGCCCCAGAGGGAAGTGCTTTGTTTACTTCTGAGCAATGTCTGCTCTGCTAGAAAATAGAGTGGTGTCAGATTTAGGGGGAATTTCCAAGGTGAAAGTTTCTGATTCAGTCAATCAGTGACACCCTGGTGCTTTTGACTTAGGTACGGTGTTTGACAGTGAATTCTTGAGCAGGGACTTATATTTCTTTTGAACTTGATAAGCATCTTCCCATCACTGAGGGATGTTAATATCACAGAAGACTGACTGACTAACCCAAGGTCACCGAAACTCACACTGACCCCCACTATTTCTTTTGCTCTTGGCAGTGACTGTTCCCCATGTACAGTGGGGGTTCTCATGAAGAGAGTTGGTTTACTATTTGGGGTTATTTAAATGTAAAGGCTTAACTGGCTTAAAAAGTCGAAGGATTGTTTTCAGAGGCTTCCTTGGCTGGCTGTGCTGGTCACGGGAGGAAGGAAGAGGCTGTGTTGCCATCATCAACCTTCACCTTCAAGTCACCTGTTCAGTTTTAAGTTCAGCCAAGTTGCAGTGGAAAGTGGTTATGGCCTAGCAGACACTCCTGTGTAAGGCTTGGCTTGCACACGCATTAGTGACTTAGGAAGTCAGCGAGGACTGCCCCTGGCTTGCCTCGTCCCTTTTCCCTCTGCCCCGGGGTACTGGTCAGCTTTGTTGGCAGCATGAAATCTCTTTCTGTTGTGCTCCTAACTGGGAGACTCCCAGGGTTTCTCCTACTGGATTCTGAGCTCCTTGGGTTTCGCGACGATAATCTCCATGACCTAGAACTTAGTTTGGCAACTGGCACAGAAGTGTTTCTCGGCGTTGTGGGCTGATTTGAAGTGAGGCATGGGATGAGGCCAGTGCTCTTTCCTCTGTCTACCCCTGTCCCTCCCAGGATGACTTATCACCTTCATCCACCAGCTTGCACCGTGCATCATGAATTGCCTCGTGCCACACTGCTGGCAGGGAGGTCTGTACAAAAACGATCACCATCATTATTTTGATAAAATTTTCTTTTTTTAAAAAAAGATTTATTTATTTATGCATATAAGAACTAGAGTGCAGGCCAGAGGTGTGGGGGGTGAGAAGATTCACCAGAGACATAGTGGGGAGCAGAACAGGCAGATCTACTGTAATACACTACTGAGGGGAGCAGCAAGCGAGTCAGGA